CCAGGCTCAGCACCCCTAGACTCAGCACCCCTAGGCTCCGCACCCCCAGGCTCAGCACCCCCAGACCCGGCACCCGCAGGCTCAGCACCCCTAGCAGCACCAGAGTCAACAGCTACCTCGACAGGCTCGACTACGTCTACCTGGGACACACCTGACGGGGCAGGACCCTGAGGGGGGAGAGGGTCTACCTGGGGAGGACCTGGCGCAAGGAAGAGCGGCGGCGGGGGGAGGGGCGCAGTGTGGTAGGGGAAGAGACGGTAGTAAGGCACCGACTCGTCAAAGGTGACGTCTTGGGAGGACAGAACACGGCACGATGTGGGGTGGTAGAATTGCCAACCAGGCGCGTCAGGGGGGAAGCCAAGGAAGACGCCGGGAACAACACGGGGGGACAGCTTGTCCGCAGACAAGTCGCGGACAAACGCCCGAGATCCCCAGACCCGAAACGCAGACGCATCGCCAACCTTCCCCGTCCACCACAAGGTGGGGGAGGTCTCTGGCAAGGAGACCCGGGGCTGAAGGTTGAGCTGATGCGCTGCGTACTGAACCGCAAACGGCCACAGAAAATGGGGAGCAACCGCATGGATCATGGACGTACGAGCGACGTCTATGACCATGCCAATGCGGTGCTCAGCAATCCCATTTTGCTGTGGAGAGGCCGGAAGTGTAAAGGTTTGGCGGATGCCCTGTGCACAACAGAAGGCTCCCAGACGGGCAGAGGAAAACTCCCCGCCTCTGTCAGAGTGCAGACGCTGAATAGGAAAGTCCGAGCCGAAACTCTCTCTGAGCTGGAGACGAGCTGCGCGGATCCAATCGATCAACACCTCAGTGACGTCACCCTTGCTGCGCAAGGGGAAGACTGTGGTGTAACGCGAGTAGTTGTCAACCACCAACAGGAAGTAACGCTCGTGACCCTGGCTACGGACCCGGGCGGGGCCCTACACGTCCATGTGAAGAGTCTGCAGCGGAGCCTCTGTCGGAGGAAACTCGGAGGAGGGAGGGGCGGCGCGCTGCCGCCCCTCGACGTAGGGAACGCAGGTAGGGGCAGGCCCCGGAGGGAGGGGAGGGAGGGACCGGGGGAGACCACAGACAAGGACACGAGAGGCCATGCCTCGGAGACGAGGCAGGGAGGGGTGACCAAGGCGGTGGTGCCAAAGGAGAGTCTGGTGGGACAGGAGACTCAGGACCAGACCTGGACGCTGCAGCAAACACCTGAGTCGACGCAGCTACCTGACCAGACTCAGCAACCAGTGGAGACTCAGTAGTCAGTGTGTACAGGCTCGACCGCGGCCGACGGGTAAACGTGGCCAAGTGTCGTCCCGTCCGAGCACACGTACAGTGGGTCACGCGCTGACTCACACGAGTGAACTGGTCAACCCCCCCACCCTGTAGATCAGCACCACTCACCAAGTTTGTAGAGAACGAGGGGAGGTAGAGACCTGACAGGGTGCCAGAGGGGGCTGCCGGACACGGTAAGACAGTGGAGAAGCGAGCAAGGACAAGACCCCCAAAGGGGTCCGCCAGGGAGACCGCAACCGGCCGACTAAGCGGCGTAAGCGTGGTGCGGTCTCGAAAGAAGGAGCGGGAAGCACCTGAGTCAAGGGTGAAGGTGTGTAAGGCCTGAGCCGACGTGGTACCTGAGAGAGCAGACTCACCAGCACCTGGGGCAGCAGACGCACTAGCACCTAGAGCAGCAGCCTCACGTGCACCTAGAGCAGCAGCCTCAATGCCCGGGTCAGGCGGAACACACAGGTAACAGTCACCCTCATCACTAGTAGACACAACATACATGGCAGCAAGAATAGCATCATAGTCAAGATCAAAGATAGCAACCCCCGCCCTAGACAGCTCTCCCCAGCGGGGGATCTCAGTGGCGTCAGGGAACTGGTGACGCCAAGCATCCGTCAGGCGGCCAAAGTAGCGCTGGGTGGAGTGCGAGCCCCCGCACTGCTCACCAGCGCGGTCGCCGGTACGGAGGACGTAAGTATAGGGACCAGTACCCCCACCTCGCTGACGCCCAGCGTACCATTCATGAAGCTGCTGGGGGGACGGGGTCTCACGACTGCGCTGCTGCTGCTGGCGCTGACCACCACCTAAGCCGCCCCGCTGCGCAGAGCCGCCCCGACTAGCTCCACCTCCTCCGCCGCCTTCTCTGCCACCGCCGCCACCGCCTCCTCCTCCGCTCCCACCGCCACTGCCGCCGCCGCCTCCGCCGCCACCGCTGCCACCGAAGCCCCCACCCCCGCCACCACTCCCACCACCACCCCCACTCCCTTCGCCTCCTCCACCTCCACCTCCACCGCCCCCGCCAGCCCCTCCAACTCCCTTGCCCCCCTTGCCCTTGCCGGTGCGGCGTCGCCCGCTAGGGGCAAACGCAGCGCCGACCGACTCGGTGCCAACGAAGTCGACCGCAGCAGCAAAGGCAACAGAGGGCAAAAGGGGGGAGGGGGAACACCCCTCAAAGACAGGGGCACGCGGGTCACTTCTAGAGGCTCCTACAGCGACTATAATCTTCTCAGCTGCCACGAGGCGCTCCTCGAGGAGGTCAACGGTGAGTGTGGTGGGGCAAACAGAGAGGAAGTGGTCCCTGACCGAGCGAAGGGAGTCAGGGAGCCGGGTGACTATGTAGTAGAGGGTGATGTACATGGGGGGGTTTTCTTGGCGCAGAACTCAGTTGGAAGCGCAGCTTGGTAGCGGGTGTCACTAGTGCGAAGGTGCGTAATGAGGTCAGCGACAGTGGGAAAGGCTGCGAGGTCAGGAAACAGGTACGATAGCATGAGGCGGATAAGAGCAGCAGTGGCAGGGGAAGAGTAGCGTGCAACTACAGCATCGTACATTGTCTTAACACTCTTGTACTGACTAAAGTGCGCACGCTCAGTGGTCGGTAAGTGGCGACGTACGGCAAGACGGGCAGCAGCATCGCGGGTGGCCCACTGTGAGCGAACAGTGGCATCACTATCAGCAGGCGGGGCAAGAGAGGCACCAGAGGTGAGATCGAACAGAGAGAGTCCGTCTGCCCTATCGCACTATATGGAAGAGCTGTAGGTCATCTACCCAGACCTCGAAGTCAACAGCACGACCCTCAGCATCAAAGGTAAGGACAATGGGGGTAGCCATGACAGCAGTGGTCTAGCAGGGAGTGCTCTCACCAGTCCGGGTGGGTAGGGCCGGGGCGCGCCGGAAGGAACAGGGCGGCAACCGCGGTAGCAGCGGCTTGACAGTGGCCTCGGCGGCTCGGCTGCAGGGCGGCTCGGCGGCTCGGCTGCTGGGCGGCTCGGCGGCTCGGCGGCTCGGCAGCTCGGCTGCTAGGCGGCTCAGCGGCTCAGCTGTTGGGCGGCTCGGCTGCTCGGCTGTCCGGCTGCTTGGCGGCTCGGCAGCTCGGCGGTGAAGGGGCCGGGGAGGGGCCGAAAGGGTCGGCGATGGGGCCGCAAGGGGCGGCGACGGGGCCGCTAAGGGCGGCGACGGGGCTGCGAGGGGCGGCGACGGGGCCGCGAGGGGCGGCGACGGGGCCGCTAGGGGCGGCGATGGGGCCGTGTAGGGGCGGCGACGGGGCTGGTAGGGGCGCCGACGGGGCTGCGTAGGGGCGGCGACGGAGCCGGTAGGGGCGGCGACGGGGCCGCGTAGGGGCGGCGACGGGGCCGGTAGGGGCGGCGACGGGGCCTCGAGGGGCGGCGAGGGGGCCGCGAGGGGCGGCGACGGGGCCGCTAGTGGCGGCGACGGGGCCGCGTAGGGGCCGCGAGGGGCCTGGAAGGGCGGCGACGGGGCCGCTAGGGGCGGCGACGGGGCCGCAAAGGGGCCTCGAGGGGCCTAGAAGGGCGGCGACGGGGCCGCTAGGGGTGGCGACGGGGCCGCTAAGGGTGGCGCGAGGGGCCTCTAGGAGGGCTCGACCGAAGGGCGGCCCACGGGGTGCGCCTCGGGCAGAAGTGAGTCGCGCTCCGGTCAGAAAAAAAAAGTCGATTTCAGTGGTGGGCCCTGAGAAGCGTTCCCACTAGGGAACTTGCTCTATACCATGTGAAGAAATGAGGAATGAATGAACTAGGAAAGAAGTGGGTACAAGTAGGAAAACCTAGAAATGTTGTACCCCATATTGTCTACCCCACTGCTGCCTACACAGACTATAGGATATAAGTTTGACAGGTGGGTTGTCGAACTATATGCCTATGTTATAATAATATGTAGGCTTTAGTGGGTAGCTAATGTAGGGTATAGGTTTCGTTACTTGTACCCAACTCTCTCGATAGTTATGCCAAACCTTCTCCTTCCCTTTACTCTCGACATGGTATTAATAGCAAAATAGGTCCTTAGGACCGTTTTAGGACTGTTTTTCAGGGCCCACCAACCGTTTTCCGCTGGTTTCCGCATAACCCCGCCCCCTGCCTACACTGCCCCGAGTCGCGCAGCCCTCGCACTCGCCTCTGCTGGCCCTCGTGCAGCCCGCTAGCAGCCCGCCCGCTGCCTCGTCAGCCCTGCGCGTAGCTCGCTAGCTGCCTCGTCAGGCCCGCGCGCCGCTCCGCAGCCCTCGCGCTGCCTTCTACTGCTCCGCGTACCGCCTCTCAGCCCTCGCGCTGCCTGTACTGACCCGCGAGCGCGCAGCCAGCCCGTTGCCTCGTCAGCCCCGTGCGACGCCCGCCCAGCCCGCCCGCTGCCTCGTCAGCCCCGCGCGCTACCCTCCCACGGCCTTAGCAGCCCTCATACTGCCCTCCTATGGCCTTAGCAGCCCTCGTACTTCCCTCCCACTGCCTTAGCAGCCCTCGTAGTGCCTTAGCAGCCCTCGTACGACCTTAGCAGCCCTTGTACTGCCCTTCCTTCACCCTTGCTGCTCCTCCCCTGTCTCTGCAGCTTAGCATACCGCCCCTACCGCCCTTCAGTAGCCCTTGCCGTCCGCGTGCTGCCTGTACTATCATGCTGCAGTGACCATGGCTTCTATTAGCGTACTGTCGTTTGACCCTGAAGGTCGCCCTGTCGAGTTCGATGCCTGGCTAGATGATCTTCAGCTGTATCTTATGACTGATGCCAAGGACGGCGTTTCGCTCTTTAACATAGTCAAAGGTTCCTCAGTCGCCCCAGACACAGCTGACAACGTCGCTCACTCACAGTGGCTTACCCATGACGCTACTGCACGCCTAGCCATTCGCAACCACTTGCCTCTAGCCGAGCGCACCTACTTTGGCCAGCACAAAACCGCCAAAGCACTGTACGCTGCTGTCGTCGCTCGCTACTCTTCTCCTGCCATTGCTGCCCTCAGCCGCCTTATCCTACCCTACCTTTTTCTTGAGCTCTCCTCCTTTACCACAGCTGAGGATCTTATCACTCATCTCCGTGCTAGTGACGCTCGTTACCACGCCGCCCTCCTGACTGAGTTCTTAGACAAGAATCCTCCCCCGATGTACATCACGCTCTACTTCATTGTCACCCGACTCCCTGACTCTCTTCGTGTCGTCAGGGACCACTTTCTAGCCCTTCCTCCCACCGACCTCACAGTCGACGACCTCGAGAAGCACCTGCTTGCAGCTGAGTCCAACATCGTAGCTGTCGGTGCTACTCGTGGCACTCCCCGCACTCCCCTCTTTGAGGGGTGTGCCCCCTCCCCCCTTGTCCCCTCCCACGCCTCTGCTGCTACTGTTGACCTCCTTGGTGCTGAGGAGGTCGGTGCCGCTTCTACTTCTGCTGAGAAGCGCCGCAGCCGCAAGGGCAAGGGAGGCAAGGGTGGCGGCACTGGCAGCGGGGAAGGTGGTGGTGGAGGAGGCGGCGGTGGGGGTGGTGGTGGCGGGGGTGGTGGCGGGGGTGGAGGGGTCGGTGGCAGCAGTGGTAGCAGCGGTGCGCGTGGTGGTGGTGGAGGAGGCAGGGGGTGGGAGCAGTAGCAGTGGCAGCAGCGGCAGCGGTGGTGTGGGAGCGGTGGTACCAGCGGTGGTGGTGGCCGTGGTGGAGCTGGTCAGCGGGGAGGTGTTGGAGGTGGCCAGCACCAGCAGCAGCAGCGTCAGCCCGAGCCCGGCACGCCCCAGCAGCTTCGTGAGTGGTACCCTCAGCGTGGGGCGTCTGGGGGTAGTGGTTGCTGCCCTTACCGCATTCGCACTGGTGAACGCGCTGGTCAGACATGCAACAAGTTTCACACCGAGTACCGCTACTTCTCTAGGCTGGACGACGCTTGGCGTGCCCAGTTTCCTGATGCTACTAGGCTTCCCTACTGGGCAGACCTGCTTAGGCGTGATGTTCCTATCTTTGATCTTGACTATGATGCAATTCTTGCTGCCATGTATGCATTGACTGTTAGTGCAGAGGGTGACTGCTACTTGTATATGCCGCCTGACCCAGGTATAGAGACTGCAGCCCTAGGTGCTCGTGAGTCTGCTCTCCCTGGTACTGCGTCCGCTCAGGCCTTGCACACATTTACACTTGACTCTGGTGCTTCCCGCTGTTTCTTTCGCGACAGTACCACAGTCACTCCCCTCCCTGCACCTGTCCCTGTCTCACTGGCTGACCCCTCTGAGGGCCCAGTGCTAGCACGGTCCACTACTGTGCTTTTGTGTTCGGCGGTCCCGTCTGGTGAGCTGTCTGGTTTCCACCTCCCCTCGTTCTCTACAAACCTGGTGAGCAACGCCGCCCTTTAGGATCATTGGGTTGATACCTTTACTCCTGGAGGACAGCATGTGGCGATCTGCACGTGCTCTCGGACTGGCCGCCACCTGGTCACGTTCACACGTGCGCCTGGGTCCATTCTATATACCCTCACCACTGCGTCACGCCACACCCCTTTGTCTCCTCAGCTGTATGCGTCCGCTCAGGTAGCTACCCAGTGTGAGTGTCGCCGCCTGCCGCACCAGACTCTCCTTTGGAACCACCGCCTTGGTCACCCCTCCCTGCCCCTCCTTCATGGCATGCACTCTTGCTACCTCATCTCTAGTCTTCCTAGGTCTCTGCCCTCCCTCCCTCCCTCGCCTGCGCCACCTTGCATTCCTTGCGTCGAGGGGCGGCAGCGCGCCGCTCCTCACTCCTCCTTGTTCCCTCCCATAGAGGCTCCCCTGCATACTCTCGACCTGGACGTGTGGGGCCCAGCCCGTGTCCAGGGGGAGGGCCGCGAGCGGTACCTCGTGCTGGTAGTCGACGTCTACACACGTTACACCACGGTCTTCCCCTTGCAGCGCAAGGGGAAAGACCCTGCTGTTTTGATCCCCTGGATCCGCGCTATTCGTCTCCAGCTCCGCAAGCGTTTCCACTCGGACTTTCCTGTCCTGCGTCTGCACTCCAACAGAGGTGGTGAGTTCACCTCCGACCTCTTGCGAGCCTACTGTGAGGAGCACGGCATCCGCCAGGCGTTCATGCTTCCGGCCTCTGCGCAACAAAATGGGGTTGCTGAGCGCCGCATTGGCTTAGTCATGGAGGTCGCTCATACCTCCATGATCCATGCGGCAGCCTCCCATTTTCAGTGGCCGTTTGCGGTCCGGTACCCCGCGCATCAGCTCAACCTCTGGCCCCGTGTCTCCGTGCCGGAGACTTCGCCCACACTACGTTGGACGGGGGAGGTTGGCGATGCATCGCGATTCCGGGTTTGGGTTGCTCGTGCCTTTGTCCGCGATACCACTGCGGACAAGCTCTCCATTCTCGCCATTCCCTGCGTCTTCCTTGGCTTTGTTCTTGACGCGCTTGGCAGGCAGTTTTACAACCCCGCCTCGCGCCGTGTCTTTGCGTCTTAGGACGTCACCTTTGACGAGTCGGTCCCCTTTTACCGTCTCTTTCCCTACCGCACTGCCCCTCTCCCCCCCCTGCTGCTCTTTCTCGCTCCAGGTCCTCCCCTGGTAGACCCCCTCCCCGCTCCAGGTCCTGCTCCTTCAGGTGTGTCTCAGGTAGACCTTGCTCCCTTGACTGAGCCGGTTGAGGTCACTAGTGACTCAGGTCCTACTAGGGGTGGTCTTGCTCGGGGTGTTGCTTCTGGGGGTGCTGAGCCTGGGGGTGCGGAGCCTGGGGGTGCTGAGCCTAAGGGTGCGGAGCCTGGAGGTGCTGAGCCTGAGCGTGAGGAGCCAGGGGGTGCTGAGCCTGAGGGTGCGGAGCCTGGAGGTGCTGAGCCTGGGCGTGAGGAGTCTGGGGGTGCTGAGCCTGGGGGTACTGAGTCTGGGGGTGCTGCGCCTAGGGGCACTGAGGCGTCTAGTGAGCAGTCTCCTTGGAGTGGCCGCCTCCGTAGTCGCTCTGCTGGTGCCTCACCGCAGCACTCCCGTCGGCGTGTGCCTCTCTCCCCACAGCAGCTGCGTGAGTGGTACGTTAGCCGTCTGGGTCGCGCTACTGGAGTTGGTGACTTTGCTACTAGAGGCGCTTCTACTAGAGTTACTGGAGCCACTGGTCCCAAAGGTGCTCGTACTGGAGGTACTGGAGCTGCCGAGGCTGGAGGTACTACTGGTTCTGGGGGTGCTGCTGCTGGAGACACTGAGGCTGGAGACTCTGGGGCTAGAGGCGCCGGTTCTAGGGGTGCTGCTGCTGCTGGCGTTGGTTCTAGAGGTGCTGGCACTGATGGTTATGGAGCTGCTGGAGGTGCTGTTACTAGAGGTGCTAGCGCTGGAGGTTCTGGAGCTACTTGAGGTGCTGGTACTGGAGGTGCTGGCACAGGAGGATTTGGAACTGCTGGAGGTGCTGGAGCTACTGGTGCTGGTGGTGCTGCACTGCCGCGACTGATCTTCGCTCCGCCATTACCTTCGTCTCTACCACCGCCTGACTCCATGCTTCGCCACATTCTTAGCCTCCCGTCTCTTACTGGTCTTCCGTTACAGCCTGGCTCCCCTCTCCCTTCTCCTTCTCCTTACACTGAGCAGACAGGTGGTCTTGCTGAGCGTCGTGAGCCTTCGTCTCGTCCTGTCTCGCTTGTTTTCACTGTCCGCACTGGTCGTACTGATCGTCGTGTTCCTCGTGAGCGTCCGCCGGCTGTCCCCGACACACACCTCATGGCCCTGCGTCCTTCCTCTGCTCCGCAGCGTGTTCTCCTACCGTCCCCTCCAGCGTCTTCTCTGCCTGACGTTCCATACCTTGAGTCTGACCGCGCTCGTGCTGCCTCCCCTACCGTCATGCGTCTACTTGCCACTGTTGTCACTGACCCTTCGTTTGAGTCCACTGCTGCGTTTGCTTTAGTTGCTGAGCTTGTTGACCTTCCTGCTGCCTGTCGTCTAGACTACGCTGCTAGTCGTGTTGCTGAGTCTGAGTCTGTCTGTCCTCCGTCCGTCGAGGGTGAGTGTGCTCTTCGCACGGACGTCCTTGAGGACAGGCAGGAGGACTTTGAGTGTCTTGCGGCTGCTGTACCTCATCTCGTGGCCATGCTGCTTGCCCCTAAGGGAGACCCGGATGCTCCAGATATCCCAGCCCCGCGCTCTTACGCTGAGGCGATCGCGGGTGAGTACTCCTCTTAGTGGCAGACAACCATGGATGCAGAGATGGCATCCTGAAAGTCCACAGGCACTTACGTCGATGAGGTTCCCCCTCCTGGGGTGAACATCGTCGATGCCATGTGGATTTTCAGGGTGAAGTGACCGCCGGGTTCTCCGCGTGTCTTCAAGGCTCGTTACATTGCACGAGGCTTCAGTCAGCAATAGGGAGTTGACTTCTTCCAGACCTTCTGCCCCACCCCAAAGATGACCACTCTTTGGGTGCTGCTGCACGTTGCCGCTCAGCGTGACTAGGAGCTTAACTCTCTCGACTTCAGCATAGCGTTCTTACACGGCAGTCTGCACAAGGAGATGTGGCTGCGCCGCCCACCTGGCTTCAGTGGGTCGTGCCCTCCTGGAACCCAGTGGAGCCTCCGTCGGCCAGTCTACGGTCTCCGCCAGGTGCCTCGTGAGTGGCATGACACACTGAGGACGACGCTTGCGGCTCTTGGGATCGCCCCTTCCACTGCTGACCCGTCGCTGTTTCTACGCACCGACACTTCGCTGCCACCATTCTACATCCTCGTGTACGTCGACGACTTGGTCTTTGCCACTGCTGACACAGAGGCTCTTGCCCTGGTGAAGTCGGAGCTGCAGAAGAGACACACGTGCACAGACCTGGGTGAGCTGCGCAGCTACCTTGGCTTGTAGATCACCCGGGACAGAGCACGCCGCACCATCACACTGTCCTAGTCACACATGGTGCAGCAGGTCCTTCAGCGCTTCGGCTTCACCTGGTCCTCGCCACAGCCCACTCCGCTGGCTACAGGCCACTCGCTCTCAGCTCCAGCTTCGGACGAGTCCGTAGAGCCGAGTGGTCCGTACCCAGAGCTAGTGGGCTGCCTCATGTACCTGATGACCTGCACTCGACCTGACCTTGCGTACCCTCTTGGCCTTCTTGCTCGCTACGTGGCTCCTGGTAGGCACCAAAAGGTGCACATGGATGCTGCTAAGAGGGTACTGCGCTACTTGTGCAGTACATCGGGCATGGGGCTTGCGCTTGGAGGACAGGGTGACGTTGTCCTCACCGGACACTCTGACGCGCCTTGGGTTGATGACCTGGCTACGCAGTGGTCGTCATAGGGTTACACCTTCAGCCTTGGCTCCGGCTCCTTTTCTTTGCCCTCTACACTCTCGTCTTCTGTTCTTAGCTCCAGTTGTGAGGCTGAGATCTACGCCACAGCCATGGCTGCACAGGAGTTACGCTGGCTCACCTACCTGCTGACTGACTTGGGAGAGCGGCCTCGTTCTCCTCTGGTTCTGTACGTAGACAACAAGGCCGCCATTGCCTTGTGTCAGGAGCACAGACTGGAGCATAGAACGAAGCACATCGCCCTGCATTACTTTCTGGCTCGAGAGTTGCAGCAGCATGGGCAGCTTCGTCTTATTTACGTGGTCACTCGGGCCAACACTGCTGATATATTCACCAAGGCACTTCCGTCTGGTGATCATCAGCGCTT